ATCTTGGCCAGCGAGCATGAACGTGCAGCACTCGTTGACGATGTCCTCGTCGCCGAACCACTCGGGATTTCTCTCGCTCATCCCGAGCATGTACTCCAATAGGGATACCTTCCGTTCGGTTAGCTCACCGCCACCCGGGCCCGGCATCACCCGGACCTCCCGGCCGCGCCTCTTCTCCTCCATCATCCTCCGACAGGCGACACTGAGCTCCTGGCTCTGTTTCTTCTCCCGTCTGCCGATGCTCGTCAGCTTGTAAATCCAGTCGAACAGGAGCCACGGGTGGAGCAGCCTATACGGCACGACCATCTGGCCTCTGCGAGAGATATCAACAACACGAGGACTTTGTATTATCGAGTCAGTTGGCACTTTATCGGGAATGCTTGTGCGTTGCCTATCGGAGCTAGAAAAATCTAGCGCTCCCAACTTTATCGATTGTCCACAGACTTTCACTACTTCGTCGGCCGTTCAGTGGCCGATCATTCACATAATTTCATAATTGCCGATTGACAATTCATGACATTATCAAATTTATACGAGCGATGACATATGATTATGCAATACATGATTATGTATTGCGATTGGCTATTATTCGAGCCGATTATTAAACTCGTGTAAATTAGATTAGTGGTCAGACAGAAATGATACGAACGTCACATGCCCTTTACACCTCATATTACGGACCTTTATTATTAATTATTTTAACGAAATTTTCTTCTCTCGTCAATTTTCCTTCTGATTTTCAAAATTATTACAACTTCTCGGCATATATTTATAGTATTATAGTACTTTTATGTAAATTCCAATAGCATTAGGCATTTCATAATGACGATAATGCATTTTCGTGGTAATTATGCTGAAGACTTTGGTTGGATACATTTTGATCAATCATACTTGTCGTGAAATCGCTCTATTACATTTTGCAAAATAAATCACTGCCAATCGCTACAGCGTACTCGAGACTTTGATGCAACCAACTATTACAGCTAGATGGCTTAGCCTATTTATATCCGTAATTATGTATTTTCTAAAAGCCGCTAGTGCACCATTTCACTGATGAGAATTACGCTTTATATAATTGTACGTCGAATAAATTGAAAATTAACCGCTGAATATTATCGTGACAAACATTAATTTAATTAGTATACTCGAATCTCCGCACATACAAGATAGATTTATCGTTGATCTATCTGTTTCGATATCCGTTTCAAGTATTGGCACAAGACGGAAAATATAAAATAATGCCGAGCGACCATTTAGAGGCAAAAATTACAATTACAAAGATATACTTACTTTCGAAATGGTAGATCATCAAGATCGATAACGCCATTGCTCTTCGCTTTGCTAGTCACATTCACCCCCAAAACCGTCTCTACAATAAGAATAAAACGAATCCGTCAGCTACGTAATTCTTGGCAATGGCCAACGAATGAAAAAACAAACAAACAAACAGTCCCACCATTAAGAATTTCGTAAACGGCATCGTTGACAAACTTTGTAATATCGAGTTCCTCGCCATCCTGGCGGAGCAATTTACTCGCCAGTCGATCCGCGGATTCGGCAAACGAATCGACGAACCTCTGCAATACTTGCAAATGAAAGGCAGGTTGGAGGATCCGTCGATGTGTCTTCCACGTCTCCACGTCGCTGGTTATCAATCCCTTTCCCAAGAAATTATCCAAGAACCGATAGAAAAAGATCTTGCGTGTGTGCTTCGAATTACTGAGGATGGCCTGCAGGTCATTGGGTTCGAGGAGAATGACGTATGGCAATACGGTGATCCAGAATCGGGCTATCGATCCGTAATCTTTGTAGGCCGAGTACGACATCACTTCGAGGACTGAAATTATCATGCTATTTCTTATTCAAGTTCAGTGCCACACTATTTTATTAATAAGCTAAACTCTTATTGTAGCGAGAAAAAAAAAAAAAAAAAATTCTAATATCATAATCGTGATAATAGAATTGTCATAGGTAAAGCTTGTCATGCACGCGGATATTTTTTACTTTGACATATTGACATTTCTATCAAGGGAGGAGTTGCCTGATCGATTACCTCATGCGAAAATACAAACGCTTTTACAATTTCACCGCGCAATCCGAGTGAATTAGTATAAATAGAATGTATTTATTAATATTTATGCGCTACACGTTATAACTAGTAGTTGATGGTCTGTTAGTTATGAAAAGAGATAGGCAATTATGGAACGATAAAAATTAAAATACTTGTATTGTTAAATTATTTTATTTCCACGGTCCATTGTTTCATACTAAATTCATACTGAAAGCAAATTTCTTAGTATTAATCATTAACGGAAATAAATCAATTTTTGCATTACCTGCTCAATATACGTAATTTGTAGATACTACTAAGCGTGAAACAAACATAGGCTTACATTACTTCATAAACCATAACGTTCGAATAAAATCGTTGCTATTTAAGAAGTGTTTTTATTTTTCATATAAATAATCATAACGTATCTCCGTTAAAAATTATAATGCAAATATATTTTACTTTAAATGATAATGGCTTCGACCTTGTTTTCTCTTAGATTATAAGTGCACAATAATAATAGGCAAATCGAATGCTTAAATACTTATAAATTTCCGTTGCGTAAAGTAAGTTTGAAATTATTTTGCAAATATTTTTACAGGATCTGTATTTAAACTCTTGAAATAATAATAATAAAGTAAAATAATATAATTGCACAAGACATTCTTGACTTTAACTAACATTGAAATTACATCAAAGTGAAAGACGATTTTTATAAATAAGATTTTGTAAATTAATAGAAAATTAAATTAAAAATTAATATTGGTTAAAATTCTAGCAATGAATAGGTAATTTATAAAATATTGATATTGATAGGACTTCATCATAATTCTAAATAAATTAAATGCTTTTTAAAATATTTTTTATGCTACCTTTAAAAAAGCATGGATTAATTTTTTTTTTCTTTTTTTGAAAAATTTCTTTATTCACTGGATAAAAGAGATCGGTAAGAAATGTTATAGTTAATGAAGCAGGACAAATGAAAATGTGATTTGAGGTTCGACATATCTATCATATGTTATTTGAATTTTTAATTTGAATTTTTAATCCCAATGTTTCGCCATTCGCAACGTTAATTCAACATAATATTATATCACATTCTATTTTCCAATGATATATACATGCATACACACACCTACGTACAAATATGCGTACACATTGGTGTATATATTGATAATTCATAATATTGATATTTTTCTTACGTACCTAAAGTTCTATCAAAAGCTGTAATTGATCTGATACATATACACCATACATTCATTAATCATTGTTTTCAAATAAATGAAATTTGAAATGTTATTGTCAAAATATTATATCATATAATTAGTCATAATATTAGAGCCGATCAACTGAACTGAAAATAATTTCTAAACTATTGTTTTTATAACTCGTAATTGTTATTATTTTATTTTTGATGATTAAATTGATTGATTAATAAATAAAATGCATTGGGTCATAGACTAAAAAAATTAATATATGTTTTAGATAGAGATTATGAAAAATTAAATTCAATCAAATGCTTAAATTAAATTCAATGATACACGAAATGATTGATATATCAATCGACCAAATAAGCATGAATATTTATATTTTTTATATGTACTAAAGTTTAAATAAATTAATCAATTAATTGAATTACGATCTTCGCGACAAATCCAATCTGCGTTCCCTATAATTGGCCATGCTGGTGGTCCATTGAGTTGAAAAATTGTCCAATATATTCTGATATAATCCTTAAAAAGGTACAGAGCCAGTATACCGATAATCAACAGGGCGTAGATCCATATTTCTTGAGCATCTCGATCCCACTAAAACGGATAATCGTAAATCTTATAATTAAGTGTGCAATTTAGTCGTCATCATTTTTACGAGACTCGTAAAAGAATAATAATAATTATAAAATATATAAAAAAAAAAAATAAAGAAAAGAAAAGCTTTTAAATATGTATATATTATGATGACAGGCTGTATTGGTAAATGCTATTTTGTTGTTTCTCAAAATTGTATAATGGCGAATAAATTCAAAATTACGCGCATTAAAACGACAAATTCGCAATGGCGAGCATACCTTGGTTGGTAAAAAAATTAATACTTGTCAATACTATTTTAATATATGTGAAAGTAAAAAACAAAAGCTAAGGGATACGTCTTCACTGTGATATCAAGCGAATATCCTTCGCCAAAGCAATTAATAAACTCATTATGTCGAGATGTACGTTGATCAAATATTGCGTAAAAATAAAATGTACATTAAAAATATCGGTTTTCGCCAAATTGCACACAATAAAATGCAGTGTGATAATTGAATTTTTATTAATTTATGGGCGACCAAGTGAGAAGAGCATCATTCGCCATTCGCATATAATTATTCGCACATAATCCCAGCACGATCCACGATATACCTAGTCGGGTATATTAATTCCGATTGGCTTGTAAAGCGTGAGTTTGTCCGTAAATTGGTCGGGATAAAAGTGTCGCCACCGCGTTCATGGCCTAAGCCCGCCAGGTCATTAGGGTGAAAAATCGACGAGAGGAAATCAAAAGCCACGCTTGAAATGACTTTCAAACCGTCGCACCAGGTCCGACAAATGCGGCACGAAATAAAAGTCGTCACATTCTCTGATGCCCGTAAATTCGAAGCTCCGATAGTTAAGAGATGTACGATTAGGGGAGGAGAAACAGTCGATCACAATGTGCCTCATCTCCACTTGGAGCGAACATCTCGCAAAAGTTGGGACGCTAAGTTTGGAACGCGAGGCGGTCGGAACTTCACTCGGCGCACTGCACTTTCTTATCTCCGGTCACACAACGTACAGCAGCAGTTTATCTAAATTGGCGCCGCTTGTTGACTTTAATCCTTCACCTACTCACAATCTGTCTGATCACCGCACCCATCGCGAGATCAATGGTAGAAGGTGCTCAGCAGCCGGGGGACAGGGAGTCCATGGAGCGGATGATAACCGAGTCCGGGCATTCGCGACTCTCGCCCGCGAGATGAATCTTCGAGGTCCGGGAGACTCGACGCGGGAACTCATCGATACGTCCGTCTTTTATACGCGAGTCGAGCCAGGTCGCCTCTCCCTCCTCCCTCCCTTTCCAAACCTGGAACACACCGTGCGCACTTCACGTATATGAGATGCGTGCAAGCCGCATGCATGTACGCCGAATGACCATTCTTCTCTTCTCCTCCTCCTCGCCCTCGTCAATCACTCTTCTCTCTCTCTCTCTCTCTCTCTCTCTCTATCATCGAATCTCAATATGCAGTCTACTGGCTGCATCTTGGCCATGGGTCTCTTTATTAGGTTCGAGGGGCAGCTAAGTCTGGCAGAATCACGTACGCGGGGATATTGCGACGTGACGCCTACTTGACTGTCAACTGAAGTAAAGGACGATTTCGCTCTCCAGAGGATTTCATATATCTCGTTCTCTTCCGGCTGCACGTATGCACATAGAATTTCGTGCCTCTTAATCGCTTCCTTTTTTTTCAGCTCTCCTTTTTCCTTTTTTTTTTTCTCTATCTTTTCTTTTTTATAGAGAAATTTAAGAACAAGTCTAGGGCACCTAGCACTTATCGATCGCTTTGGAAAATTTGACTTTTATTTCATGAGTATTTATTTGCCCTGACTGACCAATATGCCAATTGTTTATCAAGCCAAAATACCTTTCGTGTCTATTCCATAGATATAAGCATAGCGTGAGATAAAAAAGCATGCAACTTATTGACACTCTAATTAAATAAAGAATTGTCGAATGTAATTGAAAATATACGTTGATTTGCGCAAAATCGAAATTCGCTTTTCCGTTGTAATTTTTTCCGACATTTTATAACATTGTAAGCGAATATATCAGCGGCAGCTTGAAAGGTAATTTTCAAAATCATGAATTTTAAAAGGAATTACTTTTTCAAATTACATAAATTTCAATTGTATAACATCATAAAATGACAAATAAAAATGTCACGAAAGATGTTTAAATTTGGATTTTATGTAAATCGATGCCTTTATTTTTTTTTAATAAAATCTTGTATTTTTCATCCGTCTGGCAATTGAAACCAATGACAAAAAGATATTTTTGCTTACACTTCAATAATATATATGGAATAATATACTCCTACTCTCAACTTATTTACCTAACAAATGATAATACCATAAATTTCATTTTTATAATTAAAGTTACGATATATTAATTAATTTTACAATTAATATTGGAACATAAAATTGTAAATCTTTATTGATTATTATGTATGAAATGAAATTTATATAAAATAAAGCTGCGCGTGCCTTTGAAAAATAATGATTGCACTATGAAAAATTTGCCAAGAAATAGAAGAAAGACATAATGTAGAGTATGATAATATTAAATGTCGAGGAATTTTTTAAAAAATTAAGATGAATAATTCATGGAGGTTCTAATGGAGGTAAATAAGATAAGTAATATTATTAATTAATGTCGTTTATTTTATAAATGTGTATTATTTTTCGTAACCATTGATATATATATATATATATATATGATTTAGGTAGGATATTAAAGAAATTATAATTAAAATTTCAAATTGAACTATTACAATATTTATAAATTAAAACAATTGAGATTTTATTAATAGTGTAGAAAGTAATAAATACATATTGATCCTTATTTTATATTTTTTTTGTCTTTTGCTTTTGCATATTACATATAAATTTTGCACACAAATTACTATAATTAATACAATTTTTCAAGAATTAGTTGTAAATAAAAATTGACTACGAAGAAATTATTATTATGAATATTAATTTTTTATCCTAGCATTATGATTCATAAAAATTGTTTTTAATTATTTCTGAGCGTCGCTTAATTATCTCTAACTGAAAAACACGAGTTGTCTGCTTAATTAATTGAAATCTTCCTATAATTGCTGCTTCTCTGCCTTTTATAGTAAATACTTTCTCTACTAAAATACCATTTATAACACACAAATACTCAAATTAATATTATTTATTTTTTTATTATTACCCTATTTTTTTCTTTTTTCGTTTTTTAAGTTACTATTAAATGTTAAGAATCTTATAAAATAAATTGAGAATATACAGCAGTGAGTAGATAAATAAATTAATGGCTTAACAAATAGAAGAAGTCAGTCACAGTGGTATATTAACGAGTAAAAATTAATTCGATAGCAATTAAGAATTGACGGTAAGTCGCTTTGACAGCGATTTTTTTTTTTTTTTTTTTTTTTTTTTTTTTTTTTTGACTATACCACCAAAAAATTCCTCGCAAAGCCTCTTATTAACAAGTGTCAGAGTATTAAATGCAGACGCGAGCTTTAATGGAAACCTTAACGAAAGCCTGCAGTTTTGAGAATGCCTGTAGCTGGGATTTGAAAAAGAAGCAAAGAGTTTTCAGCAGCAGTCCTATCGAAGTCTCGCTCGCGCGAAAATACAATTTTCTCAAACTCATCCTAACCGCTAAGTAAAGAAACATTCATCCCAAGTCTTAATATTGCGCAGGAAGATGGACAAGGCGGGAGCGGCAAAAAATGTGAGAATCAACATCGTAAAAAGTACGAGGCGAGTTCAGTGCCACCATTCAGCGTATTTAATAGACAGGCGGCGTAAGAGAACAAAAGAACCTCGCTGGATTTGTCCAGGACGGATATGCTCATGGCCAAGAGTTCGCTCAATGCAATATGTCATGTGTGTATTTCAGACATATGAGCAATGAATTCGCCTAGAAGTCTCGATTATACAATGATGAAAAAACAATGCCAAACAGCCAGTCGACCTTCCTTTCTTTTGACACTCGATAAATCAATGAATAATGAACTTTCCATACAGAATGCTTAGCCTCATCCAATATGGTACCATTAATGTCAATTCTTATGCCGTGTGCTGTACGTTGTAGCTTATTGTTATAAATATTGTTCACTAATAGTTAAGGTTTTATGTATTCTTGATTGGATTGCAATAAATTATTTATTACTTTAACAAGCGCATTGCCGAGCGATCTTGCAAATTACCGTCTCCCGCAATCTCTCCCTTATTTGCAAAAAATTTGTATCACGGGTGGAATATTAATGTTTTTAATACGTGAAATTTGAAATATCCAACTCGATATCAGAGATAAAAGGGGCGAGTAATTCATTTTAAGCGGTCATTGTGTACAGTGCCCCTCTAAATAAATATAAACATAAGTATTTAGCGAGAGCGCTACGTAGAAAATACATACTTCATCGACAATTATTTAAATTCACAATTTATTAACAAAAGCTTGTAATTACCCTTGAGCAATTACCTTAATTGTAATTACAAGTTAAAGTGTTTGAAAAAAAAAAAAAAAAAAAAAAAAAAAAAAAAATTACATCCACTGGGGTGTATTAGACAGTTGCTTATAATTACTGGATTATATTGAATTTTAGCATGTAGGCTTTAGCTAAACTTTATCAGCACGAGATTATAACGATTTCGATATATTCGCACGGCATTATACGAATTCTTCATTAATTTGCAGATAATATTCATAAAATCGACACATTGCCACGAGCACAGTCGGATAAGTGCTTCGCGGAGACGCATTTACGAGATCTACGTCCCCTGCAAAAACAAGTTGACCTTGGGGCAATTTTCACGCAAGGCATAATGGACGCGAAGTTGTTTACTATGCAAATCAAGAGGGATATGTTATGCTCCATTGTTCCCAGGGCGATTTATATTTGTCGTGCACTTGGCGGCTCGGATGCCTACATGTCGCCCTCGATAAAATGCTCCTCTGGCCCGTCATTATGTCGTACGGTGTGCGTTTGCCGTGCACTCGTCCAAAAGAAAA